TTTTCGTAGAAGCGAAACCGTAACAGTGTGAATACTGTAACACTCTTTTAAGTAAGGAATTAATGTTATTTAAATTTGAGTTAAGTTTTTAACTATATCTTGTTATCACTTACAGTACAAGTATAATTGCATTGTAATTGTCGATTTGTATAGTAAAATGTAATAATAATAGTCCTGTTAACGTAGTTGATTTTTAATATTTAATTTCAATTATTGAAGAAGGTTGAAGGTGTCATTATGCATGATTATTTACGATAATTCAATCAAATATCACTGATTTTGGTAATAGTAAATTTAAATAAAATGCTTTCAGTATCACATCTTTTCTCTCTTTTTTTAATCTGTTAACATCGGAGATAAAAAATATGTCTATGAATACGTCGATGCTACTTTTAATAAATCTATTAAACATTGAGGTGATGACCGTTTTTTGCCATCATACCTACAGTTTGTTCACTACTACTAAAACAAAAATTATAATATGCAATCTAATATTTAGATACGAAATTTCAAAGTCTCGTTGAAAGTGTATTTAATTTTATTCTGCAAATAAAATTCAACGATAATTTATACCCTGCATTTATTACTAGACCCCTATTTCAAAAACATAAGGGAGATTTTTAGAAGAATCAAATGGCAATTTTAAAGTAGGTAATTCGTTAAATTTTTTCGTTGTCACAAGAGTCAACCTACGACCTTTGACTGTCTAGACGTCTAGTTTTTTTAACTGATTGACCAGAGGCTGACTTTGTCAAATTTTCCAAGTAATTACTTGGTCTTGAAATCTCTGACTGATCCGTTTTAAGGCAGTATATGAGTGTTGTCAGACGTATTTTTTTCAGATTACAGAATCACATAATACTAATATAAAATAAGCTATTTCAGCAACGTATTTACTAGATTACAACGGTAAGATGGCAATGAATCGCTTTCGTATAATTATGTCACCGTACATATTTTCAATTTCGGCTAAAGTCAGACAGCCAACTTTTTGATTCACATAGATCTATTAAAGCGTCTAAGTGCGGAAAATTGGATCTTATAAAATTGGATAATGTAAATAATTATATTCCTAGGGACTTATTCATACTGCGACATTAGACACACGAAGGAAACCAAAAAAAGAACACCTTTGGGCATTCATATTAATCACCCTTTGTAAAAGTTGCCTATTTTCCATAATTGCTGATAAAACAAGCTATGTGCTATATATAATATTTAGTTTCTCGTATATGTTACATTAAAAATATTTTTTAGAATGGTGGTAAGATTTATCTCTTCATTTTTATAAAATCAAAGGCGTTCTCCAGTTGCTCCAATGGCTTTAACAGCAAGAACCTTTTCTGTTCACTTCACTCCTTAATTGTACCATTAGCTCATTCGAGTGTTTGGATTGCTCTTGAAGCAACTAAAGTTTTGTCAATAACTTTGGATGTACCTCCTACTAATATACTGTTCAGAATTACGTGTTTTAGACACATTAAGTGATATATTATCGTCTATTGTTATATCACCTAAGTTGACCATCAAAAACGAGTTCTCAAGAAAGCTAAAAAAAAAATCACTTCAGAAAACTGTATAATGGTATTATTTATAGTGATATTTTCAAAATTATTACACCTATTAAATGAAAGAACAAATAGTTTTATAAGTGTCCTGATGGTCTCTTTAATTTTTAGGGTCTGTACCTCAAAAAGAAAGAAAAGACCCCCTCGTTCATCTGTCTGTCTGTTAAAATCCTTGATTTCTGGGACGCGTGAAGTATTTGAAAAAAAAAAAACAAATACGTCACTGTTCACCGTTAAAAATTTTTTTGATCAACTTAGGTCGCAATGATAAAAGTACTTTTGAATTAAGCGTATTTTTTCACTATCCAAAGTTTGAGGTTTAAAAACGTAAGTCGACGTAGTTACTTTATATATAGGTATATACCTAAAACCTACACACGACTGTCGTAAACAGGTTTAAATGAAGACGCTCTGAACGGAAAACGTCATTTGGGACGAGAAATGTGCTAACATTCAGTAAATTGAGGCTCATTCGCACTTACTTTTACTGGAGATACGTGGGGGCGACCAACATTTCAAACGTGTCTACGGTTATTCCCGTAACGTTTATTTGTTGTTATGATGGAAAAATATAGTATAAAAGTACTATATAATATATTTTACGTTCACAAATTCGGCCAAATCAAAGAAAACCATACTATAAATAAAAGACATGTTTACTACGAGTTATAGCTATGTGCCTGATTGAAAGGTAAACAGAATAAGCGGGGTATGTATGACGCGCGGGGGACGAGGCACTGGTAGATATGGTGGATCAGCTGCCAAGAGACTCGCTGCTTTTACTCGGTCCGTTCTTAATATTTGTACTTGGAATACTGTTGCGTGCATCATTTTTTACCACTTTGTATCTAAATTATAATTATAGATTTACTATATATAAATTGCCTAACGCTGATCTTATATGTGAGTCTGATACGAATTGATTCAAATCGTAGGCCTTACAATACAATGACATATATTATATTATTTTATTTATTAAAGATTTTTAATGTCTTTAATATTTTTTTATATATACACCATCGGGGATTTACTTACCATTTTTAATTAAAGTTTATGATTAAGTTCTATTTTTTGCGATAAATTATAAAAAAAATACTGCAGTTAAATATATTTTTTTAAATTTAATTTATTCTTAACTTCCTTAATTCTAATCTGCGATTCAGATATCAGATTATAGCATTACAAAGTTTGAACCTAAATTATTGTTGCAAATATTCTAACCATAAAGTTTCCGTTACACTTACGTCATAGTAAGTAAGTAATCCATTCAACTTGAATGGTTATTTAAATATTCACTAAACCAGAACTTGTCTCATAGGACTTACTAATAGCGTAGTCAGTCTGAATATTCAAACCAAAGTGAATTAAATTTGAAGGAATTACGGAATAGTTGGGTGTTAAGTAATTGAAATTTACAGTGTATCAGACTTAGAAAGTACCTTATAAAGTTACGTAAGAAGCAAGATGCTTAGTTTTAATTACATATCACAATTGAATAAACCAAATAATAGTGTTTATTTCTGATCATCATCAGCGCATTATCTTCCTCACTGCTGTATACACGCCTTCCCTTTGGACGTTTTAAATAATTTATAATTATACAGTGTACAACCATTTACTTATATAAAAGGCATATCTCGTTGACTTATTGTATATAAACGCACAGCCAAGACTACTGCTCCTAGAAACTTGAAATTTGGTACTTGTGTTAATTTCAAAATGTTAGTGAGCACTTAGAAAAGATTTTTTAGAAATTCTAAGGGGGTGAAATAGCGTGAGAAGTTTATATGTGATTTTCTCATTTCTGAATTTAAAAATATCTAAATATATGATAGTATAAAAATAGGAAAATAGGAGGCGACATCAAAAATAACTATAAAAGAAATTAGTTCACGGCGTCGGTTGTATAAAGACTATAAGGTCTTTAAGAAACCGCCGACGTAAACTAATTTCTTTTACAGTTATTGTTACTCTTATAAAAGGATAACAATTGAAAGGATTCCAGAAAAAGACAACTCAACAGATTATCGTTTTCAGCTCTTCCTTTTGTACTAATGGCTCCTTATTAAATTCCATTTAATATCACTGTCAATGCCACAAGAAGCAATAAAACAGATGCCATTTGCTGCGTGCCAATCCGATCATATATAAAGCGATATTTTATTTGTGTACTAGTCTTTTTCTCTCTATGCCTACGCCGATTTTGGAATGTAACTTATCTTTCTAATAATATAAAAGGAAAAATTTCTATGTTAATTCTTCAATTGAAAACAACTGATTTGACTGACGGATTTTGATGACATTTGGTATGTATTTAATTCTAAATCTGGATTAACATATAAGCTACTTTTTATACTACTAAATGGTCGAATAGGGATAAAAGAAAAGTAGTTTTTTTATAGCGGTAAAAATTATCATGTGTTATAACAATAATTCATCTAAAATCTAATCTAAGTCTAGAAACTTTATAGTTGGTACATGCTCAGTACTTAGATATATTATTTGCATACATAAGGGAAAGAAAATGATAATTATCAATAAAGCTTAAATTAATAATGACAAGTATAAGTAGGTAATACATAATTTGGATAATTCTCAAAAAAATCCGAAATTTGATTCCTGAGTCGACGGTGCCGTGTCCTATTATGTTAACTATCTTGTGTATTTTTTATTTCAATGTACGCTATCTATACAACTTTTACTACCAAAAGAAAAAGCATAGTCACTAAAGAAAAAAAGATATGGCTAGTTTTATACCCTGAAAATCATTCCCTCACCATGTCCCTTACTCCAAAAAACGACTGATATACCGGTTTATCTCGGAGAAAAAAATATTTCCATAAATAAAATATATAGAATATATTAGAGAAATGTGTGTTATTTTCTCTTAAAAACTTTCTTTATATCAACGACTAACTAATACTAAAGAAAATTCCATTTTAAATATGTCCCGCCAAATAAAAATCATTTCCTCACAGATTATGGAAATTCGATTTCTGAACGTATCGAACGATATTATTGCAGCGCATAAATGTTTTTAGTGACTGGCAACACTCACAATAGTTACAATATGGCGATTTCTTCTCAACTGCAGGTGAGTTTGTGCAATAAAATATTACATAAAAAAATATTTAGTGTTACATTTATGACAATCATTACCTCACATTAGACGTATTAAGCATTTTAGTATGTATCTATATAATTTTTTGTTTTTATATGTTATTGGGAGTAATTGCATATTCAAAGTGTTAACAGCAATTTGAGGTTATGCGCTGGTGTTTTTGTGACTTTAGTTAAAAATCGTCATTCCCTCACCACCATTACCTCACTTCTAAATGAAGTGAGGGAATGACGGGTGTGTGAGGGAATGATTAATACAGTGTTCATGGTATTTTATTCGAAACAGGTACCGACATCGTATATGAAAGAAAAATGGCACGATCAAAAAAAATTACTGAGGCTGAGAAAAAATTAAAAAAGAAAGAGTATGATAGAAGAAGAAGAGAAAAACTTAAAAGTAATGCCGAATCTTTGGAAAAACTTCAAGAAAAGGAAAGATTAAAATATTTAAAAAAAAAGAGAAAGGTCAGGTTAAATCAGTTACTCAAATGAATGCTAGACAACTTAGACAAAAACGCAAACAATGGAAAGAAAATAGTCAAGCTTAAAGGAATAAAAAAGCCATAGCACACAAAAATTTATTACGACTACTCGATGATACACCACCAACAAGTCCAGCACCAATTTTACAGCAATACAGAGAAGATATAGCCATTCGAAACAGACAACAGATGCGAAGACGTAGAGCTGTTTTATATGCGAAAATTGGAAAATTAGAAAATAAAGTTACCAAAGCGGTGAAATCAGCGGAAAAATATAAGAAAAGGTATTTGAGGCTGAAAAAAAAAATATCAGCTCCTGAATCACCTGAAACAAAAGTAAACTCGCTTTTAAAGAATGTAAACGTTTCTGAAAATGTGAAGAAAAAATTAATTTTCGGAGAAGCCTTAACAAGTGACCTAAAAACTACTTATGAACAACTTGGAAAAAGACACGAAAGAAAGAAAAAGTATTACGAAATGTTTAAGATGAAATCAGTGCAAAAATATAAGTTACTTCATGTAGCGAAACCATTTTTTAAACGTGATACTTTGTGTAATGTGCAAAAACCTCGAAAAATTAACACTAAAATGCTAAAGATAAAGGAAGATGTAATTAATTTTTTGGAAAGAGATGAGAACTCAAGAATGTGCCCAGGGAAAAAAGACTATGTTAAATCCAAAGAGGGTAAAACTCAACTGAAGCGTATTTTATATGATACACTTTATAATTTACACAAAAAGTTTTTAAGCACAGTTAATTATAAAATCAGCTTATCAACCTTTTGCAGATTCCGTCCTTTTTGGATTACTTGGCAAAATGTGAATGAACGAAATACTTGTCAATGCATACATCATGCAAATATTACACTAATGATATCTAAATTGCATGAAGTCAAAGCGTTGAAATTTTGTAGCGTGACTTCAGCAATAGCGGCTATAACCTGCAATGTGCATTGCACAAAATGTCTATTCAGGGAATGTTTGAACTGCAAGGAACGCTCGTTACAATACTATTTACCAAATCCTAATCAGTTGGTGACTTATCGACAGTGGATTTATGAAGTCAGTACATTTGAAAAGGACGGGAAAAAAAAGTCTGTACGTAAACCAGTAAAAAAAGAGTACAGAGTTAAACTGAGACAGCTTATCCAAAACCTGGAAGCAGCATTACCACTTTTTTTTACACATATTGGCACCATTGTACATCAATATCAAGCCGTTCAAAATATAAAGAAAAATTTAACAATAAACGACATTCTTATTCATGTGGATTTTAGTGAAAATTATTGCTGCAAGTATAGTGAAGAAATACAAGCTGTTCACTTTGGTGGAGGACGGCAGCAGATCACAATGCATACAGGTGTACTTTACTTGCGCAAGGATGATGCTATCAAACCTGTATCTTTTTGCTCTCTCTCTAGCGACAATAGACATGACACAATGGCTGTTTGGGCGCACTTAAAACCCATTTTTGACTGGATAAAAACACAAAGTTTACCTATTTCTCGATTACATATGCTAAGTGATGGGCCTGTTAATCAATATAAAAATAAATTCATGTTTGAAATGGTGTGTCGCTATCTAAAAAAAATTTATCCGGGAATCAAACACTTTTCATGGCATTATTCTGAACCCGGGCATGGTAAGGGAGCGCCTGACGGTATCGGTGGAACACTGAAGCGGACAGCTGACAAAGTCGTAGCAGAAGGCCGTGATATCGTAGACCTGAAATCATTGAAATCTATCCTTCAAACCAGATGTCCTTCTATTTTATTGTTTGAAGTTACCACATCAGATATTTTACTGATGGATGATCTCATAAAACAGTCAAAGTCCATTTCCACATTTCGGGGTACTCAAAAAATACGTCAGTTCGTATTTTTTAACAACACCTTGCAGTGCAGAAGTCTTTCATGCATTTATTGCAAAAAAGAATGTACCCATTATCATTTAGGATATTTTCAGCATAATCAATCAAATCAACTTCTTAGGACTCATAACAAAACCCCGCAAAAGTCAATGAAAATTGATACAATGAATTTAGATAAGGATAATCACCGAATGTATCTACCGTCTACTTCACGCATTCAAAATCATATTGGAATATTGAAGGAAAATGATATAATTGATTTAGAAAATGATAGATCTACTGTTGGCTCCGATAGCGACAAGACTGCTACCACTGGAGATCATGTCCTGATTAAATGGGGCAACGCAAAGTATCCTGGAGAAGTTTTATCCGTTTTTGAGGATGGTTTAATGGTTAGATGTATGAAACAAGGTGTAAAGTTTTGGAGATGGCCTAATATTAAAGATGAACAATTATATCGCTGGGAAGACGTAATACAGAAAATAAAGATGCCAAAGTTAGTTAAAAGAGGGAATTATGTTATTACAGAGTTGGATGACTCTATAAGTGATGTTTAAATTAAGACTGATTGATTTGATATTAAAAAACAAATGAGCATAATTATAAAAGACTAATTAATAATAATAAGAATAATTACTTAAGATAAATGTACGAGAATAAATGAAAACGTATTATTGTTGTAAACTACAAAGTCTAAAAAGAATTAAGGTAGTAAGATAAAATCATTTTGTTACCTACCTCTGTAGTGTATCTATGTTATAATTTTTGAGTTGATTTTGTTCAAACAACAAGGTTTATGAAACCTTATTGTCGTTTTTAATAAAAATACATATTTTTCTTTATTATTCCTGTTTTTTATTCAAATACATTAAAAATATCATTCCCTCACACTGTTAGTCATTCCCTCATTTATTTATTTTTATTTTTTTATTTTTTTGTGTATTATAGACAAAAATATGGAGGACCAATAGTCTTAAATAGATCTCTTATAGTTAAATTTTTAATTTCTGTGAAAAAAACTTCTAAAGCTTACAAAAACAAAAAAATTTAACAAATTCTCAAATTTCGGAATTTCATGACATTTACCCATTTATGTATGTCTGTGGTTATACTGACTTTCATAAGAAACATAATTTTGAAACTAAATATGTATATTCGTAGTGGTCTTGAACAGCTTTTATTGACTTATATCAATCAAACAGTCAAAGTCAAAGATGAAATTTTAAAGTGTAATTTTTTCCCTTTATTTTAATACATCCAGGGTAGATAGAGGAAAATTGAGTACGAAGATATAACAGTTTATGGTAACCATATTTTTTTTTTTGCAGTGTATATTAAAACCAACAATAACAGTCTTTAATTTGTGTCTATTCAATTATTGTATTCTACTAAAAAAATGTTTATTTCATATTTAAAGATAGCTTTGCAAATAACGAATCGCAATTTTGTGGCATTTGCCATATAAAATTATAAATGGCGAGCTTATCTAGTTCAAAAGTAAATTTTAAGATTCATGCTTATATATCGATAAGACTTTTATTTTAATATCTATTAGTATTAAATAACAACAATATTTGTTATTTATTTGAGATTATCAATATTAGAACATCTGTTAGTATCCAATAGAAATGTAAATATGGCAACCGAGGACAAATGCCATTATGCCAAGTTTCCTAACTAAATAAGAACGCCCAAGATAAATACATATGAAACTTCTTTGATATTTCAGAAATTATGATTACTTCGTCCACGGTTCAAAGGATACGCCAGAATTAAGAATAAGCTGTTGATCCCCGTTGTCTTCAGATGGCATTTGTTATATACCAACCAACTACGCGTCTATATCCAGCTTAGCTAGACATTATCTGACCAACGGGCAGTGTATTTTATGATAGTCTACACTAGTGTTGTTGTAACAAAGTAGGTTCGTTATCGATATTTGACCATTAAAACAATACCAATGCTGAAAAGCTATTTAAACTTGTTTAAGAGATATATTGGATGATGCGATCTCAGGAGCCATAAAAACCGGTGAATGTGTGTAAAATTGTGGGTAATGAAAGCGAAGAAGATGAAAGACGTAGGTATATAAGGATCGTGCTTTGAGGCATTTGGTCCTCTCTACGTAATCCACAAGGGAAAGGGATACAGGGTGATAGATATCTGAGGATAATGATGATTATGATGATGAGGGTGATGTAAAAAGAAACTTATTTATATATAACATCGCGGTAAATATATGAAAATAAATGTGTAAAGGAGACCGCTGTTTAGATATACCTCTAATTAATCATATTAATATAATCGATAGTTGTAATAGGACTTCACTGTTGTATTTTATTGATATTAAATATATGCTGTCGAAAGTATAAATTAATATATTGATATATATATATATATATACATAGAACTAATGATGTGTCGACATTCACTAAGTGTTAAGGATACATAATTACATTATGGATAAGTTATCGCTATTGCACCAACACTACTTCTAACTGGTAGCCGTTTCGCTGAGAAATGTTATTTAAAAATTATGGGCCGTGGAACTAAAACTAATATCGTTATATCATCGAGGAGGTATTTTTGAAAATGATCCACTTTCGACCTACAAACTAATGATTTACCAGTCTGTGTATCAAAACATGAAATACAATAACCAAAAGCGAATTTAGAATATTTTAATACTCGTATTTATGAATGAATTGCTAAAAACACGACAAATACTCTCCGTGTAATTTATATCCTATTAATATTATAAATCTGAAAGATTCTTTGTTTGGATGTTTGTCAAAAAAAATTTTTTTTGGACGATTCAAAAGTGCTTGTAATCACACAAGCACTTTTGAATCGCCTAAAAAAAAATTTTTCCCCTACCACTTGTTCAGGACATCTTTTAGCTGACAAGAAGAACAAGCGAAAGAAACTTACCAGCTTTTTATCATAAGTAATGACATTTACATAAATCATGTCATTACCAAAATAATATGTATTATCACAATAATAAATACAACTTTCAAAGTCTGTAGGACATAGGTTGAACATATAATTAGTCTTTATAGAACAAAGCGAAGGCTATTAATTCCATGCATTGCGATCCTTAAAATAATCATCAACTTTATAATAGCATTTACTCAAAAGTATGTTCTTTACATGAATTTTAAATTTATTTATGGGTAGGTCAATTATATTTTGTGGAACTTTAGTGAACATAGCAATGCATTTACCCAGAAATGATCCTCTGGTTTTCTGAAGTCTGAGGCTTGGAACGGCAAGTTTATTTTTATTTCTTGTGTTAAGATTATGAACACTACTTTTTTTGTGAAGGAATCGTAATAATTTCTTGCGTACATAATATTTTCCAGTCAAAATATTTATTGCTTTAAATATTTCTCTGAGAGATTCTCTAGACGGTAAATTATATATAGCGCGGACAGCTCTTTTTTGTAAAATAAAAATAGAAGCCGCAGAACCCCAGAACAATAGACCATACGTCATTACACTATGAAAATAACTAAAATATACCAATCTTGCCGTTTCAACATTTGTCAATAGTCTAATTTTCTTAACAGTAAATGCTGCAGAACTCAATCTACCTACTTGACAAATTATCAATATGAGGATCCCATTGCAGTCGGGAATCTAGTGTAATACCAAGGAACTTTATCGATTCCACCAACTCAACTTTTTCACTATTTACATTTATAAGTGTATTAACATGCCTCACATTAGGTAAAGCAAACTTAATGCATTTTGTTTTATTTGAATTGAGCTTTAAATTATTACTATCAAACCACTGTAGAACATTGTCGAGAGCATCATTTACATCGTCAAAACAATCATTACCCCTCTTAACTTTAAACACTCATCATCAGTGTTCAGCAAATAACACTGTCTCGTACAAATTCTTTGTAAAGTGAGGAAGATCATTAATGTAAATTAGAAAAAGCAATGGTCCTAATATCGATCCCTGAGGGACGCCCATAGTAATGGATGCCCCTGCAGATTTCGCTTCATTAATTACTACTTTTTGAATTCTAGCGGAAAGATATGATTTTATTAGATTAAGTGAATTTTTCGTCACACCATAATGCTCCAATTTCCCCAACAGTATTTCATGACTAATTAATTAATTTGAAATTTTAGTGGTTTTAAGTAGTTAAAAAATGGGGCGCTTAATTTTTCTTATTAAAATAGAGAAAATATTCAGGTATAAGTAAAACTTATCAAGAGTTAAAAAAAAACCTCGCCCAAAAAATTTGCTTGACTATTCAAAGAGAAAACGCTCGCAGCCTTCTGGGCTTGCCTATTGGCAATGATCTCGGGGATATTTTTTATTTAGTATTGTTAAGACGTAGTTTAGATAAGTAGTTTTAATAATATAACATAATTTAACAAATAATTATTCAAGATTATTATATATTTTTGTTTCCTAACCCATCACCATCATGCAATCTAACTATAACATAACCCATCATGCATGCTCAGTGCTAAATGATGGGTGTTAACAACTAGTTATATATGCAGCCTTTCTTTTCAAATTACTGAGAATTTCACGGTTACAAGTTCTTATCGAATTGAATTTTACAGACATGTTTCTTTACTTTTGTAGATAGTCGTAGATTGAAAGTGTTACCAGAGTAGAAACCCGCGGCGCTATCGGGCGGCTTCTTGTTTTGTTTCAGAATAAACCCTCTTGTTTCGGAATAAAACTTTATAATTATATATATATGGATAGAAGGCTCTCTGAATGTACTCGTGTAAACTGGTTCATTATACAACTACTCCGAAACAGTCTTTTGTAAACGGCGTTAATTGGAACTCTACGTCATAGAATGTAGTATAATTTTTCATACAAAACATATTTGATTCGCTTTCTTCTTGATATGACTTAAACGCTTTACTAAAATTTTATAAATTTGTGATTTGCTATATAAGCTATTCATTTTTTTGTTATAAAATCTAACCAATGTTTGATTATATTTAGTTATATATTTTATCAGCTTTTCTTTGTTTATAGAATTGGTTATTTTTCATGTTTTAAAAGAAATATAGGAATGAAGAGTATGTTACACATACAGTCCGCGATATTTATTGAATTGATTTTCAAATGCGATTGTATAATAAGCTTATTTGAGCCATTTTTTTTAATTTTATGTTCAATGCTTACAAAATGCAACGTAAAAAATGTTGGTCGCTTTATTCAATGTTTCACAGTCGCTGCGGTTCTGGGCATAAACAAATAAGTAATGGATATGATTCCCGATCGGGTCAATGTAGAAAATAATTTTCTTTTGAAATATTGGGTTAAGGTTTTGTGTTACCTTAAAATTGACCGTTTTCCATTATACAAGTCGACGCCCCCCGCGAATAATCCGGCAATGTGCTATTACGGGGTTTTAAATGTTATGTGTTTTTCTGATTTTAGAATATAAAATACACCTCATATATTTTTTTCAGATTTTTCCTATTGATATTTACAAAGATATAAAATTTAACGTTTATTTTCCATTTCAATGTATTACAATGTAGTTTTAACGAATAATATGGTTTTATA